TTTTTTTTTTCTTTTTTTTTTTTTTTTTTTTTTAATTATCTTTTACATTCAAAAGAGGATTTTAACTTCCAGACAACTTGACCAATCACAACCCCCACACATCCAGACCAGCTGCATGCTCAAGGCTAGGGTGATGTCTGTCAAAGGTTCCCCTCGAGGTGCTGGGGCTGTTCAGGAGCAGGGCTGGGGTGGGGGGATGCATGCAGTTCTCTCCAGAGCCAGGGAAACTACCCCCATCTGTCTGCCTGAGAATGAGGCCCACTGTCAGAGCTCCCCACACTATCCTGGGATCCAGAGGCCAAACCAGTAGCCTAGAGCCAGGAGGCTGGACCTCAGGCCTCCACAGCCCACACTTTCAGGCTGGAATGAGTGTGTTACCCAGTAGTCACAGGTGAGGGGGGATCAGAGAATGAAAAGGCAGAGGGGGACTTGGCTTACGCCTTGGTCTCACATCTCCTCAGTCCCTGGCCTGAGCCACATCACCTGGAAGCCTGAAGAAGGGCAAGGATATAGGCTCTGAGGCCAGGATGCTGTGCAAATGTCCTGGGCAGCTCCCTTTCTGGGGCACAAATATCCAAGAGACCCCAGCTCCATTTCAGACATGTCCTCAGGGCTTCCCTTCAATCCACAGCCTCCAATTGCTACTTCCCTGAGCTCTCAATGTCCTATCTGTGAAATAGGACCTTCTGCTGTGTCAGGGAGGCACAGTTTTTCCTCTACCCTCTTATGCTGAGTGACTGAGGCCTGTGAATTAAACTAACGAATGGCAGATTAACAGGAGAAAAGGCACACAATTTTTATTAATACTTACAGAAAAGTGAAATTCAAAGAAGCATTTTGACTCAGGGACTTATATATCATTTTAACAAAGGAAAGGGGATTTGAGCTTCAAGGGATTATAAATTGTGGGGAAAGGACTAGGAAATAAATGGGAGAACTAAAGAACTGTGAAGGGGGTTATAGTAAGGTTTATTGATGCAGACTCACCTCAGTGCTGACTCTCCACCTCCAGTGATAAAAACCACTCTCCTCTTCCTAGTACAGAAGGCAGGGACACCACAAAGGGAAATTCGTGTCACCTTCTCAAATCGTAATTTATTCCCTGCTTTTAGGCAGAAAAGGGGAGGGCAGGGAACTCCCTGCATCTGTTGATTCTCAATTGCCTTCAGCTCAAAATGATCCTATGCCAAAGTGATATATTTGGGGGAGCATATCCTGATTCCTGTCAGCTGCCAAAGGACTTGGGGGTCATGGTTGGGTGAGAGTTCCGCTCCAGGAGTCTTGAGAGAGACAGATCTGTGCTCAGTCACCAAATAGAGCTCCACACTACTGGCCAGCCCATCGGGAAACTCGGGCAGCACTGAGGTGAAGTCCTGATTTTAGAGAAACAACCAGAAGAGGGAGTATGGGGACAGGACACTCAGCCAGGAGGCTATTTGTCACCATCATTTGAAAAAGCCTCACCAGCACAGCAGAGCCAGTATCTTGCATTGACCAGTGCTTAGAGTGATAAAACATTTAATTAAATTAAAAAAAAAAAACTTAAAAAAATTTTTTTAAAATATGTCTTTATGGATTTCAGAGAGAGGGAGAGAGAGAGAGAAACATCAATGATGACAGAGTCATTGATCGGCTGCCTCCTGCACGGACTCTACCGGGGATCGAGCCCACAACCCAGGCATGTGCCTGACCAGGAATCGAACCTCGATCTCCTGTATCATAGGTCGATGCTCAACCGCTGAGCCATGCTAGCCAGGAAGAAAAAAAAAAACACAACAAAAAACTTTTACAAAATTCTGAAATAGTGGTAATATTGGTCTTCTAGGGCTGCCATAACAAATTATCACAGGCTTGGTGGCTTAAAGCAACAGAAATTTATTCTCTCACAATTCAGGAGGCAAGAAGTCTGAAATAAAGGTGTCAACAGTGTTTCAGAGCCACACTGAAGGCTCTGAAAAAGAAAATGAGTATCCCCCCACCTTTCCTCCAGTTTCTGGTGACAGCTGCCATTCCTTGGCTTGTGGCTGCCTCACCTCAATTTTGGCCTCTATCTTCACAGGGCCTTGTTTACTGTGTCTCTGTGTGTCCTTTACTGTCTTTTATGAAAACACATTCACTGGATTTAGAACCCCCTCAATCCAGTATGACCGCATTTCCATCCTTACCTTAATTACATCTGCAAAGACCCTATTTCCAAATAAGGTCCCTGTAGTTTAATAAGAAATATATTTGGTCTTTGTCCCCAGTTCCTGGCACAGATCTCCTAAAACCCTTGGAATTTCCTGAATCAAAGGAGTGTCTTTTGTTATTCATAAGGGGTCCCTTTAGATCACTCCAGAGTTTATGCTAATGAGGTGACTTAGGGTGGGGTTCCCTAGGTTGCTTTAGGATGGTGGCTGGTCTCAGAAAGGCCATGTGATTAGAGGACGGGAACTTACTGGCCACCTCCAACCTCTGGGAACAAAAGAGGGGAATAGAGATTGGGTTATAAAAACAAAGATGTAAGGAGAGCTTCCAAGTTGGCAAACACATCCAGGTATCATACTGGGTGAATGGGACATCCCAACTTCATGGGGACAGAAGCTCCTGCTATCAGGACCCTCTGACCTCGCCCTGTGCACCTCTTTCTCTGGCAGTTCTTTTATATTCTTTATAATAAATCAGTAACATCAAAAGTGCCTTCCTGAGGTCTGTGAGCCTATCGAACAAATTATTAAACCTGGGGGAGGGAGAAGCCCTGGGACCCTGGTTCAGAACTACAGGTGGCCCAGGATTTGGGACTGGTGTCTGAAGTGGGGATGGGCTTGAGTCTTTTAACTTGTGATGTTAACCCCAGGTAGATAGTGTCAGAACTGAATTAAATTGTAGGATGCATAGTTGGTGTCAGAGAATTGGTTGACATGGGGGGGGAAACACACATTCAGTGTCAGAAAACATCCCAGTGCCATACTGAGGTTGCAGGTGCACATGAATTTTTGGGAGGCACTATTCAACCCACAACAGTAATACGAGCAATAAAGTAAATACGGAAAAACAGATGGTAATGGTGTCATGAATGACCAAAGTATGGGACACAGCCAGACAAGAAAGCATTTTACCCTGGCTCTGTCACCCACTCTGTGTCCTGCAGGAACTGACTTCACCTTGAGCCTGTCTCATGGACATAATTACCAATGATGAGGAGTCACCCATTTACTTGCCAGAGCTGCCCAGTGCTATAGACTAAAAGTGTATGGCCCCTCAAAACTCATATGCTGAAGCCCTAACTCCCAATGGAGGTGGTATTAGGAGGTGGGGCCTTTGGGAGGGGATTAGGTCACGAGGGTGGAGCCCCCACGAATGGGATTAGTGCTGTTAAACAAAAAACTAACTTCCACAGCTGAAAGTCTTTTTATTTTATTTTTAACCCTCACTCCAGGATATTTTTTCCATTGCTTTCCAGTGAGAGTGGAAGGAGGAGAGAGAAACATTGGTTGCCTCCTGCACTTGCCCTGAACAGGGGCTAGGAATCAAACCCGGGACCCTTCAGTCAGGGGGCCGACACAGTAACCACTGAACCAGACCAGCTAGGGCTGAGAGTCTCTTTAAAAGACAGGCTTTATCAGGCCATTGCTTGCAAAAAAAAAGGCTGGTCTTGGGGCATAGAGTCTAACCCACTGGCAGCACGGCTGGGTAGGAAAGACAACATGTCCAGCAGGAGTTTCACAAGCATTTTTATCCAGGTTGGGGAAGAAAGATGTAAGCTGTTCTGAAAGGATTTACGTTAGCTACAGACAAAGACGGTGGGAGAAGCTGAAGCGGGGCAGCTCTGGGGTCGGCCTGCAGCGTCCGCAAGGCTCATGTTTAAACAAGAATCTGAAGCTCTTAGGGGTCCACTGTACCTGGCTAGTCTGTTTTTAGATAATCTCAGAAATAGCCACCTGGAAGTTGTTGTTTTTGAATGTGTGGTTTTGGTTTTGATTTTGTTTTTTAGAGAGAAAGGAAGGGGAGAGAAAGAAACATTGATGCTAGACAGAAACATCTATCCCCCCTCCATGCACCCAGCTAGGGATCAAGCCTGAAACCCACGCATGTGCCCTGACCAGGAATCGAATCGGTGACATCCCCAGTGCAGGGACAACGCTCAACCAACTGAGCCATACTGGCCAGGGCTGGAAGTTCATTTATTAATTCCAACATACACTAAGGAATGTGAGCAGTCTTTCGCTGGTTTTGCTGCAATTATTAACTGATTAACCATTTTTTTTGTCTCTTCCTCCCACCCTCTGGCCTGTTATAATTTAATTTAGGACATCTCAGAATTTTCTTCTTGTCAGAGAGCTCCCTTGTCCTTTATGCCATGTGAGGACACAG